CCTTCTCCCAGCCACTCCTCTGCCACTGCACTGTGTTTTTAGCAAGATGGCTTGATCAAATGTCTCTGATTAAGAATTTACACCTGCAACTTGAAGTGTTGACATACCCTTAAAGAACCCAATGGGGATTGCTAATACTGTGCAAACACACAGTGAAAGGCTGTCCTGGTCCTGAAGAGAATAAAGTCTAATTTAAGGGAAGATTCCAGAAGCAGGTACTGCAAGCAATGGAAAGGAATAGGGGAGGGGGAGGGCAAAGGAAACACTAAATGTTAAACACTTATTACTTGAGTTAGCAGTGTGTGTAGTTAGATAGCTAAGGTGAATGATTGTAAAAAGTAAGTCACAGGATAAAAAAGGTAAATATTAGAAATCCCTACATATATTAAAGACCACCAGTCTGGGCTCAAAACTAAAGAATTGTAAAGAGGGCTTTAAACTGGGAAGAGAGGTAGGAATGGTGGCTACATTTATACTCTGTAAGGAATGTGCATTCTAGATACTCTGTCTAGTATGTAGATATTGGTAAAGAAAGAAATCAGAAGAAAAGATTATCAGGATTAGATCAGTTTTCTTAGTTCTTGTATGACTGAACATAAACATGACTAAAATTTACAGTGGTGCTATGTTAGTCACAGAATTTGTGCTGTACTTCTACAAGGACATCTAAGGAGACTGATAGGCACTCAGGTGGTTAATAATTAAATGCTTTTGAGTGATTCTGATGCTCGTTGTTCCTTTAAATTTGTGAGCCAGTTATCGCAATTATCTGAATAGCTGTTCCGTTGACCTACTGAACAGCATTGGTTACTAATGCTCTTTTTCAGCAAACTGCATTGTTAAGATTAAAGATTTATACCCTTAAATCTCATTCTGATTAGTGGAGGAATTGTGAATGATAACTTCATGACTAGCTGGCAGACCTTATTTTGAGATTTTCCACATTAGTGTATTCAGGCTTTTATCCTCACCCGTCTGTCAGGTACAAAACACTTTTCACTTTTATATAAGTCCATTTCAATTCCTGTTGAAGCCAAGGACAAAAAAACTCTCATGGGTTTCACTTATGCAGTATCATACTTAAAGTTTCTAGAGAATCTTCCAAGTCTGCCTAAAGTGCTAGAGCTAATATAAGACCTGATTTCTGTATTGATCTTTGTACTATACATCTTATTGAAATAGTTTTTGAATCTGAGCAGTGCATATTTAGCTGCCTTTCCACTGGTTTCCTTGCTCCTGGCTATCACATCTGTAAATTTCTTCTAATTAGACATTAACTCTTAAAAGAATGCTGATTTGCAGACTTCCACCCAAATGGAACCTTAGACGTGTATGAGTCACAGTGGCTGTTTGTCTGAGAGCAGGAGTTTGTACTAGTGTCCTTGGATAAAATTTCCTCTTCCTGTACTGTAATTTTACTGGAAGACTTACCCTGTATTGCCCAGGGGTGTGGTCTGCGCAGGCCTCTTGCCAGCACTCTCCCAGAGCCAGAAGGGGGACGCTGGCTGGGGGTTAGGGGAAGCTCTTTGCAGGCCTTGTGCCAGTGTTGCCTGGGCCAGGAGTGGGGGTGGGGGCACTGTGCAGGTCTTTCACTGGCATTCCCCGAGCCTGGGGCTGCGGGTGCATGCCACGCAGGCCTCACACCAGCATTCCCAGGGTGGAGGTATGGGTACCACACGGACCTTGTGTCAGTGTTCCTGGGGCAGGGGTTCCCTATGCCTGTCCTTGGAAGCAGGGGTCGCTGTAAAGGTCTTGTGCTTACACTGGGGTCAAGGGCCAGTGGGAGAGGTTTGGGGAAGAAGAGTCAATTACCTGGGCTGGTGGCAGGCAACATGGTGAGCCCCATCCACAGCTGGCCACAGCTTTGACAGTGTGGTGCCCCCAGCAGTCATTCCCCGGTGAACTTACATAAAAGTATAGCTATTCCCTGTGCTTGCTGCTCCCAGTAGTGTCTGTGAGTATCATGTCCCTCCTCTCTCTGCCCCCTCCCTTTCCATGTTATGGAAAACAGTTGGACTCCAGGCACATCCCGTTTTCCTGGCATAATCAGACCCTCAGTAGGGATGTGAAGGAATAGTTGACAGGATAGTCAACTAGTCTCTTCCCCCCCCTATTGCTGTCTCAGATAGAGGCAGCAAGGGCAGTGGAGAAGAGGAGGATTACTTCAAAGTGGCAGTGCTGCATGGAGCCTGGGGTCAGCTGCTCTGTGTGGTGCTGCCGCGTTGAATGCCGCAGGGAGCCTGGGATAAGCTGGGGACTGCCCAGCTGACACCGGGCTCAGTGCGGTGCCGCCGCTTTGAAATGCTACTGCGGTGTTTCAAAGCGGCAGCACCCC